ATGAGGTTCTGACTCCAGGCCTCAAGGAGCTCATGCGGTATTGGCTGTCCCTGGCTGACCATAGTCCTGCAGGTTATTCTGTGTGTAGGAGGTCATTTCACTTCCAGCACTCGGGGCTGAGGGCTGCAAAGCAGCTTCTTAAACTTTTGAAAAAGTTAGAAATTTACATAACTATTCAGTTGGAAAAATTATAGCACCAGTTAATGCCCCAAGGAGAGCATAGACAAAGATGTTTTTGCTTTTTAACCTCCGAGTGTGTTTGTGGGAGTTTTATGAATAATAAGTGGCTAGGAAAATTCCCAGGCAGCTTCTCTAGTATAGTGTGCATTTGCTGAAAAGTTGTGCATAAGTCAGAGAGTGAAGATTGAAAACGTTTGTGTTCAGAGAAAGTCATTGAGAGGCAGTTCCTCATAATCCGTTTAATTTGTTCCAGAAAGAAAGCATTAAGTCACCCCCTAGCATACAAGGATAGAGACAGATTGGATAATCATCAGAAACTGTTCATCATTTGACTGAAGACATTTAGGTATTTGTTTCTAAAGGAAAAAAAAATCGATGCTTCTATAGAATCTAAGGGAAGCTACTCAGTAAGGCTTCCCTAGGATAGAAGACAGCTGAAGGTGTGTTTTATGTGGTAGCTGTCTGTTCAGTATCATATCATATCTTCTTTCTTCTTGGGGCCATGAGCATCCCTAAGCAAAATGCTGAAAAGAAGAACTAAAATGGCCATGAAGACCCACGCAAGCCCAGTGGATATGTGAAGCTTTTTCCCTATGCAAGTGAAGGAAAATGGGATCCCAGCTGACTTTCTAGATTAAAATCCTGCAACAGGAGCTTATTTCAATGAGACATGTGCAAGAATGAGACTATAGATGATTCTAGTGATCGTAACAGTGAGCAAACACACAGAGACAGCATTCCTGGGGAGAAAGATGGAGGTCTGAAACGGAGGTTTGTGCTCACAGAGCTTTCCATTAGAACCAGGCTGTGCTCGTCTCTTCTCTAAGAACAGTCCTGACTTTCTCGGTTCAATAATAATGGCCAGTATGTCATGGCTGAATAGCAAAAACCCTAGCTTTAGTATGTTATAAAGTTAAAAACAAAACAAAAACTATCACGAAGCATCTAGATTTTCAACTTTGATCTTTATCTTTTATATCTAGGAGACACTGTCATCATCCTAAAATTAAGATATTTTTTTTTCCTGTGATACAGGTCCCCCTAGTGCAGAAAAAGATGATTAATTATTCAGGAAGACCACCTTTTTTTGAGTAACTAAACATGGAGCACATGTGGCTATCAGATTGGCATCTGTGGCTGTTCTTTAGAGTAATATCAAAGTTGAGACTAACTTCCCAGGATGGGTTAGCTTGCACCGCAGAGCTCTGATTGTCTGTAATCAGGGGAAGAACCACAAACTCCAAAGAGTAACAGACTTGAAGTTGGCTAAAAATCAGAATAATCAAACGGGGAAAAATAAGATCTCAGAAATCTTGATTTTTAAGCACAGAATTATAGTTTCTTTGTGGGTTGAACTGTGTTTCCCATCATGGCTCTGAACCCTCTGCGCGAATGCACTGTTTCTAAAAGTGTGGTTATAGAGTTGGTAGAGATGCAGAGACAGTAACTGTCAGATCCTGGAAGAAGGGGGCTCAACTCAAACCTAGAACAGACATGACTGAGAAATAACCAGCGTAGACCAAGAACTAGGCCTGTGGGTCTCTCATGTGGAGACTGAGGAGTACCCTCCAAGTTGGAGAGAAGAGTAACAGAACGGACCCACCAGAATGTAACCCTTCAGCAGTGCTGGCCTAGTGATTTAGAGATGATAATTTCCAGGCTGTAAACAATAAAATTATTATGATTATTTTAAAATTTATCTTATTCTTTTAAGGCAGGGTCTCACTTTACAGCCCTAGCTTGTCCATGTAGACCAGGCCAGTCTCTTATTTTACGGAGTTTGTCTCAAAGTATTAGGACTATGGACGTGTACTACCATACCCAGCAAGATATTCTCCCCCACCCCCGCCCTCTCTCTAGCGCTCTCGCTCTCTCTCTCTCTCTCTCTCTCTCTCCCTCTCTCCCTCTCTCTCTGTCTGTCTCTCGATAAGGTCTCATGTAGCCCGGCTGATCTCAAACTCACCATGGAGTTCTGATTGTCCTGTGTCTTTTTTGAGTGCTGGGAATACAGGTGTCTGCCACCACACTTAGCTTAAAGCAATGCTGAGGGTAAAACCATTCTTTTAATCTTTTAACACATCTGGTCTTTAAAAACAAGAAAACTCAAGCTGTTTTAAGACCTGAAGCCAACATAGTATTCATTCTTCCCAAGATTGGGTTAGAAGTTTGAGAGCCCACCAGATACAATGTTGCTTTCATGATTCTTCTTTGCATTTCTCCTCCAGTGCTGAGAACTGAAGTCTGTACCTCACACGTGTTAGGTGCAGAGTGGACCATGGAGACACATCTTCATCTCACTTTCATGATGGTTAAGCCAACCTTGCTCACTAACCAAGGAAAAGGGCACAAATAACTCTGACTTAACATTATTATACTGATATATAGCAATCAAATATATTGATAGTTTCCTTGGTGGAATGAAAAGAGATCCATTTTTCCTTGAAGGAGAATGCCAGGTAATTTAGGGGGAAAGCAAGCAATGGGAAAATAAAAAGAATGAGGTGTGGGAACTGTGCTACCAAATGCAGGCTTGACCCTAAGAGGTCTTTGTTATTTGCTTAGCTAGTTGGGATTCTGAGTCTGCTCATTTTTATTTCATTTGAGTGGGACTTGTGAGCGCTGCATGAAGCCACAATTCCCGGAGAGCATTCGTAACAGGGGAAATATTAACATTTCCCAAGTCGTGATGCAACACAGGCTCCACTAATTGCTGTTCTCTGTGGCTGCTCTCCCAACTTGAAGCTCTCCATAACCCAACTATGGAAATCCTGTTTGTCGGCCTCTCGCTCTCTTCCCTCGGGAAGGAAAAAATAGCAAATTGCAAGACTCAGCTTGTTAAGTGAATTTGCTTTGTTTTTGTGGAACCAAATGCAAGTGAGATTTCGGAGGCTGTGGGTTTGTGGTTAGATTTGTTAAATGACTTCATGCTCCCTCCCAGTTGCCAAATAAGTTTAATGTAGAGACTGTCAATACTTGAAGGATGTTAGCCTGTCCAAAGGCATTTATTCTCTTCAAATGTCCCTGGAACATGTGAGGCCGTGAATGCTGTTTAGGTAACTTCATTCAGAGTCCTGCCTTTTCTAGGGCAGGTGTATAAGGGACCTCTTCTTTCTCAGCCAGAGACTGTCTTCCTCCTAGTGACTGCTAACATCCTAACTTGAGTCTCTTTCTGATGCTTGCTCTTCTTCTTGATACCAACAGCTGTTACCTTGTGCCACACGGTAAATAGAACTGTTGTTACTAATATCCTGTCATTTGCTTGTCGACTACAGCATTCCACAATGAAGAAAACTTGCACCTTTGTGTTACAATGATCTCTCCTCTCTAGGACTTCACCTTTCTCCCCTGCTGCTCTCCAGACCATCTCAACAACTTTGATTGTCAAGATAGATAAAAGATTATGCTACTACAGATTGCAACAGGAAGCGATTTTAATAGAGGTATTAAATTAGGCTAGATTTTTAAAAGGTGACTTTTGAATATATTAATTATTAGTAAAACTTTCTTAGAGTTAGAGCCAAATACCAACCCAGAGGACAATAAATAGTTTTCTCTCTGGAAGGAAGAACAATGAAGCTTGCTCAGTAATACTTCCTACCGGCTTGAATTACTTGATGGTGTCTCCCAGACTAACACTAACAGATAATGTGGCAGTCAGCAAGTGGCCATTGCAAGAGCAAGGGTGAGACTTCCACGTTCTGAGAAAAATTTTAGAGAGGTGTGTAGAATTGTCCTCTAAAAGGGTTCTCTGCAATATGATTTACATTTGGGGGGTGTTGCTAAGTTTCAAAGACTAAACTTCTGTATAAGGGTGGAGTGAGAGATAGATTAGGAAAACAAACATAAACAGTTTTCTCAGAAACAGCAACAACAACAACAACAACAACAACAACAACAAAAAACCCAAACCAAACAGTTGGATCCAAGAAATCCAAAACCAGGGAACAGTCTCAGGTTTCTTTGTCCCTTCACCTCTCCTTTTCTCCTCTCTTTGTCCTTCCTGGTCTTGTCAGGGGACTCAGCACACGGCAGAGCATAATGGATGGGCAGAAAACTATCATCAGTGGCTGCCTTTCAGTTTCAGAGGAGTCAGTGTGACAATAAAGGGGTTAACACGTCAACCCCTGGCAGAACTTGGAGATGATTAATGTGTTGTAGACCTGAGGCCCTGGACGCCGATGACCACATAGCAAATGCATTCTGCTGGGCTACTGCTCTGACAGACATTCTTATTCATCCACCTCCAGCTCTTGCTTCTGAGATGCCTTGCAGAGGAAGTCATTGTTTATGCATACAAATGATAATGATTAAAGATGATTGTGAATCGTCTTTATTTTGGAAGATGCATTCTGAATTAGCACTGGCGTCTACTGTTACAAGTCGAATACAAAAGTTCCCTTTGCACGTGAGATAGGCAGTCATTAGCATTCGGAGAGTCTGCAGGATGTTAACTAAGGCTCTGTTATTAAGAGTTGCTAACACATGTATTCAACAATGTGACGGAGAAATCCAAATTATTGCAAGGTAGATTTGAGGTTTTCATTTTCCCTTTTTCACAAGGTATATATAAGAAAATAAAGTAGACCATTTAAAAATAAACCAAAAGCTTCAGAAGAAAATAATGTGTTCTCCATTTATTATCATAAAAGAGAAAATGAGTGTGGAAGAAACGGAAGCACTGAATGCTGTTTTTCAAAAGTCTACAGGGTAATCAGAAAGGGACGAGCCTGGCTTGAAGGCAGGAACAGGCATCCGTGATGGACTAGGGGAAGGATGGGTAAAATGGAACCTCAGTAACCCAGATATGTTCAAATCCACAGGTCCCAATGGCTGGCATCCTAGCGTACTTAATGAATTGGCCGAAGTCATCACAGAACCGCTAGCTATCATTTTTGAGAGCCCGTGGAGGACTGATGAGGGGCTGAAGACTGGAAAAGGGCATATTTAGACTCTCCTTTCACAAAGGGAACTGGATGGTCACTCTGGAAACACTCATCAGCTTAAATTTTTGGCTTGGAAAGTTCTGGAATAACCAACTTAGTAAGATGAATAACTTACGTGTAGCTAGTGTAAGGCAGCGACGTGCTGCCCACGAAAATCCTTTGAACTTGGTTTAAAACGACACTCCATGCGGGACGAAGTTCAATACATCTCTTGGGATTTCTCTCCTTCGCTCTTTGAATTTTTCATCGTAATAGATGGGGTTAAGACTTGTGGGTAATTACTAATTTTAAGTATACCATACCAAAAATGTTTCTTACAATAGCTAATTAATCATATCACTTTCAAGTTAGCCTCTATCTCGAGAACAGTAACTTTCACTTTATATTTTAACATACAAGTTATTCTACTTTGGCGAGAGCGCTGTTTTTATTAATTTATGTTATGTCGTATATAATCCTATCTAAAGAAGTTTGGTGAAGGAACTCTTCCTTTAGGTACTTCATATGGTGAGTTCACATATAAATAGAAGCATAGTACTGACCGTTTAAGGAAGAAATTCCTTTCTAACTTTTTAAATTTAATCTGGTGGAGGTATGTTGTTCCATTAGGAGTGCCATGTCCTCACATGATATTGAACACATGAGTTGTTTCATTCTTCCTTGCCCAGAGACTTCCCCTGCCCCCCCTTCCCAAGTTGCCTTATATCATCTCCCTCTCTTTAGTAGACTTCGGATACAAGTTTTGGGGCAGGGACGTGACCTGTGGCAGTAGGCAAGAGGAGCCTTGTCCATGGACCGGTGCTTGAGGAAGACAGAGGGAAATGGGTGGGAGTGAGGAAATGAATCTGGAGTTTGGGGTTTGTTTTGTTTTTTTTCATGTCTCGTCATTATTCCCTTTGGATGTTGTTAGTTTGATTTCCTGCTAAGAAAATGCAAGAGTGAAGATAGGGTCTGATCTTAGATGAGAGAAGGCTATGGGAGATTAAACAATGCCAGCAAGCTGCGGGGGCTGGCAAGTTGAGAGAGCCCCTCAGCTGTCCTGTACTGCGGAATTGTCTCTTCACCACTCAGAAGTACATTAAAGGTGCAGGCTTATGTCACTAAAATTATGGACAAGAACAGGAAACCTTTAAAGGCAAGAGATTGGCATTCACCTTGTCTTTAGGAATAGGTAGGCAATTAAGAAGGGGTGAGATTTCCAAAGGCATTCATGTCACAAATACTGTTTTTAAAATCTAAAATTTAAACACTCGAGCTGCCTTCAGAGATGAATGTATCACTCTGCAAAGCCTTTCTCGAGATTAAATACAGATGTAAGGAAATTAACTCCCAAGAGCATGTTGTGAGTGGCTCCTTCTCCGATACAATCAACTGCTCCATCACCTTTTCAAATAAGCTGGTCTTTAAGATACCTGTTAGATTTTTTTTTTTATTTTGAAGAGGTGTGGGTGTCCACATAGATCACTGATATGATTTACTGTGATAATGAATTGCTTCCTGGTTGAGACTTCATTTCCAGGTGCCACCTCCGTGACAGATTTATTTTACAGATGTCCATTTGCATGCATTTGTTGAACTGTGGCTAGTAAGGACCCAATTTCTGAAAAAAATCTATTATTTACCCTAGAGGCAATAAGAATAAAATCCTCTGCAACCAAAAAGGGTCTCACATCCTTTCAAGTTTTATTTTCCATTTGAATGATGTCCGACTTCAATTATTGGGCTGAATTTAAATCTTGTTTCTATGCCACTACTGGAATTTGAAATTAACAATAACCTACCTAAATTATGAGTCACAATTTAAGATGGTAGAATAGCCAGTGGGTCTGAAAGGTTTCTTGGGTAAAGAAAGGAGAATAAAACTCTATGGAGGGAATCAGTGAGAAGGAGCTTGCTGGTTTTTCCTGTACATTAAATCAAAATGAGGTAGGACAGCATACCAAAGGAACTCTGCCCTTGAATTGTTCTATTGGGACTTATCTTTAGGAAGAGTCAATTTATCAGCATGTCTTTTCCTTTTTTCTATAAACGCTGGTGATTTCATTAATATCTGAATGTGAAAGATGAAAATATGAAACAGCAAGATTCATGTCTTGATATGTCAATTCATAGTTCCCATTCAAATCAGGTTATGACAGGGTCTTATTTTATAATATTGAGAGGCTTATAGAATCACAGCAAAATTTTCTTCATCTTAAAAAAATTGTGAGTATGTGAACAAATCTAACTCATGCAAAAATTGCTTCATCAAGCAGGGTGGCACACATCTGTAATCCCAGCTGAATTCCAAGCTTGAGACCAGCCTGGGCTATGTAATGAGAATTCTGTCTCCATAAACAAATCAGAACAAAACAGAATAAATTAGATGGGACTATGGAGAAGGCTCAGTTAGTCAAGTTTGTGCCATGAAAGCATGAGGACCAATGTTTGAGCCCTAGAAGCTACCATGTAAAAAAGCCAGGTATAGCAGTATGCACTGGGGAGGACAAGACAACAGACCCCTGGGGCTTACTGGATGGTCATTCTAGCCTACTTGGTGAGTCAGTCACAGGCCAATGAGGGACCCTGTGCCAAAACAAACAATCAAAACAGGAAAACCAAAACAAGATGTGCCTGTAGAGAACACCTGAAGCTGACCTCTGGCCTGCACATGAGTATGTATGTACACGCATGGGCACGCGTGCACACACGCACACACACACACACGAAAGCACAATTAGGGAGGGAGGAAGAGAAGGAGGGAGGAAAAGAAGAGATATTTCTGGACATAAAGAAAATAACAATTTAAGGAAAAAATAAAGCCAAAAATCTCAGAAGCAAATGTATACCCATAAAAGATAGTGGTTTCTCAGTCCAAGAAGATCAAGTATTTTTTTAGACCAGAGCAGTTTGCATCATGGTTGGTAATTTGAACTACAAGAGGACAGTGAGCATGAGGGCTTCCTTTGAAATTACTCAAATCATAATTCAGATTCTAGAACTATTCCAGTGGTGCTTTCTTGAGCCAACACTCCAAGGTGCACAAACTCTACTGTAGCTTGAGGAATCATTGCAAATCACACTGAAACTTAAAGCTTCTTTTCTTTCATCCATAAAATGGCAAAAACAAATATCCCCTCTACTTAAGAGGCTTAGGAGTTCTGCAGTTTATACCTATTTTCAGTCCTTGGCTCAGACATGGCATCAGCAAGCGCTGAACTGTCTCTCTCCCTAGCCCTTCCTCAATGTCAGTGATTTTCTTCATTTCTTTTTATGTGGAAGAGATTACTTAAAACCAGCTGGAGAATCAAGTATATATTGACATGTTCTTCTGTTGTTCATTAGAAAAGGCCTTTTGCTTTTTAGGGGGGCTCAGAAAAAGCTACCCCATATCATCATACTAGGAGTTCAGTGAATGATTAGTGGCGGAATGAAGAGAGTTTGATTTAACAATAGGCTAGGGAGATGGCTTAGTCAGTGAGACGCTGCCCTTTGAAGCACACAGAGCTGAGTTAGACCCCAGAATCCTCATTTAGAAAGGACAAGTCTTTGTAATCCATTGCTAGAGAGGTGGAGACCATTGGACCCCTGGAGCTAGCCTGGCCTACTTGATGAGCTCCAGGTCAGTGAGAGACCCTTGTCTTTCTCTCACATGTCCATAAGGTAGATGGAATCTGAGGTACAATATCTGAGGTTGTCTTCTGACCTGCACACACACCTCCCGCTCTAACACACACACACACATATACACACACACTAGAAAGGGTTCAAGTTGTCTGGATAAACTGTCTTATGGACACACATGTAGCTATTTTTCTAGTACTCCTGTTTCTATAGCAGCATCAGGCAGTGAACGTGGCATATGTGTGGATTCCTGCTTTCATTACTGTCTTGCACAGTGAGTGCAAGTGCTTCCCCTCAATGCTACATCTGCAGTGGATCCAGCCAAAGATGATGAGGAACGAGCCAGCTCTTTTGTAAACTGTAACGAGGAGCCAGTCATACCAGTGAGCAGAAACAGCATTGACACCGGCCTATCTGAGTATTTTATCACTTAGAGCCCGAGTGTTGTACACAGTTCCCTTAAATAGAGAGGTTGAAGAAGAACAGAAAAAGACGCTAAAGAAATTAAAAATCTGGGGAAAATGCTCCACTCATATCCAATATGAGTAATATCTAAGTTGTTATAAAAAACAGCTTGTCAAGGCAGATGAAATATTCCTTACTTTCAGGAATGTAAGGAAATAAGAATAGAGCATTGGAGCCAGGGAGATAAAAATGAAGATCCAATCTCCAGCCGCCATGTCTTAATTCCAATCAAGTAGCAAGAGTTGGAAAATTTTTGCATGAGATAAGCTGGTAATGTAGAATAAACCCAAGGGGTGTGTCCATAGATGCTTTACTAAGTAACACCAGGTTGCCAAGAGCAAAGCAAGTTACGCTTTGGTTTCTAGAACTTTCTGATTTTACTTGTATCATGAGTCTTAACCTTAATTCTATATTTCTACATCAGATTGTCACAATGCTGAAATTTTGTGTTAATTTCTGAGATAAAAACCAGTGGCTTCCTTTCATAAACACTAATCACAGTTGGATATTACATTAAATACAAAGGGAGAAAAAAAAAGACAGAGAACTTAGAAAAAACAATTTAATTTACCTTTCTCTTTCTACTCATCAAAATATGTATTTTCTTTTTTAAATTGTCTATGTTCTAGAAATGAAGTTTCACATTTTATTCCTAATGTAAAGATACCTTTTAGGAAAATAAGTGCTTAAATTGTACAATAAGAACCACATGCCATTATTCCCTCTTTCTTTCCTTTATTTTTATTTTTTGTAACAGTTTTCGTCAAATTTCTTCCTCTGGGCAAAAATCCAATTAGTGAAGTTTTGAACATTTAAACTGGACAATTTTTTTGTATAAATATGCTGTATAATGCCTTTTATTAGATGAATTTTTTTCTTATTTCAAAAATGAAATAGTATATTGATTCTCAAAAACAAGGTGACTTGTTGAAGGAGACAGATGTTAGACAGTCTGCCACTCATTGCATTTGCTGCTCTATTGACTGAGCCTGTGATGAGATACAAGTTGGGTTATTAAAGTCATTCACTGAAAAGTTGTTCCCATATAGAAGCTTGTGTATGATGCTGGGAAGGCAACATGGATTTTTCCTACTGCTCAAGCACAGATTTTCTGATTGAAAGTTACCATTTGTATTTGTCAACAGAATGACGAAATAGTGTTTTCCCTCTTCCAGTTTTTTTAATGGAGGGAGGGACAGACAGTATGTGGCAAGTCTGTGACAAGCCTAATTGGGATATCCTTGTGAACCATGTCATGTATGCAGCACTGTGATTTGCAAACATATGTCTCCCTTCAATAAATGTCACGGCTTTCACAGTGGTTCTCCCTCGGCCTCTTTTGTAATCTTTTGCATTCCAATATAGGCAACAGTTTGAGCATTCTTTAAATTGGTAACCTATGAATATTTATGATGCAATACCACATTGGTGAGCATGGAAAATCAGAGTTCCAACTGCAAAGAAAGTCTCCTACCACACATGAGCCCGTTATGTGTACTTGAGTGTATTTGTGTAAAGCTTATATGTGAACCAAGCCACCTTCCCTTCTGTGATTCTGAGCAGTTCCAGTGGCTGACCCAGTGGGAATGGTGGGCTGTGCTGATTGGTAGGAAGGCTTCCTGCAGCAGTTTCTGCACATGGACATCCGCTGGGGCTCCCACAACGCTGCCTCCATTTGAGGACAGTGATAATTCCATAGCAGATAAGCCACGCCTTAGAGATCCTTAGACCCTGAGTTTTGAATTCAAACCCAAACATGATTGATTGGGGATGAGAGAACCTTAGAAAAGTGGAATAATCATTTTATTTGCTTATCATAGTCCTAAAACATTAGTTTGAAGTTTGGCAGAAACCTGGACAACAGTGACGGTGCTTTGGGCTATATGTGTTGATAATTTTTGTTAATCTTTTGTTTACATTGAATATGAGATGAAAGTAAATTTAAAGTGAAGATGTAGTTGGTTTTTCCCAAGGCCCCTAATCTTGTTTTTTTTTCCTTCATTTATGTTCCAGTGCATATACATAAAGAGTGATATGACATTTAAAAACAAAAGGCTCATCTTTCTAGAGTGCCCTGAATTTGAACTTTGACCATCAGTTCATGATTTAGCCTTGGCTCTTGTCCATATAGTCCCAGGGCCCTCCAGGGACCAGGACCAGGCTATGAAATCCAATATTTCACCTCCACATCTACCTTGAGCTCATAATCATTTTTAGAAAAGTTCATGGACTTGATAGACAGCATAGAAACACTTTTTCTTTTTAATTAAGGAGATACACGCAGACAGCAAAGCTTACCCGTATGAGGTTTTAAGAGAATAGATGGTTTATGTCATTAGTAAAAATCAGTTCACATCAGGCAACTTCTAAGAAGTCTTTCATCTGAATCTGGATAACGAGTGACCCTAGTTTCATCCCAGGCCATCTGGAGCCCCGCTGAGAATTTTTGTTAATTTAAAAGA